ATATCAGTGAAATTGTAGCCTAATCATTCACTAGACACAGGTGACACCACAGAGAATGCAGCCTATCCTTCCACTAGAGAACAGGGACTTCAGTGTGGCTGGCAATAGGAGAGGGTGCAAACCTAGACAGACAGTACAAGGTAGACACTGAAAGGACCAAATAGCAGGTACATGCAAAAAAACAACATCCCAAGCTGTTAAAGAGAAGGAGGCCAAGAATGTATAGTAGATCCTGGTAGTGATAGTGTCTCCACTAAGACGAGACTCTGAAGAGGAGCAATGGCCCCTAAAACATGTCTGCAAGGTGAGAGGTGGACACAGAACCAGTGCCCCACCACCAGGTAGGTCCTGCAAAAGCAGGATTGAAGCTGCCTTTTTATAACGGTTAGGTAACATTGATCCTTCCTACCTTTCTGTCATGCCAGGCTTCTGTTGACAACTGAGAAGCCCACCTAGAACATTAGGTGTTGTAGTAACTAAGGGGTAAGGCATTCGGTATATCCAATGGCCAGGTATGTGATACGTTTTTTTCCAAAGCTCCCCTTGGTTTCTCATTAAAGCATGGTGAACATGGAGTGTGCCATGGCCAATAAGGGATGTGGCCTAAGACGTTATTAAGACGAGGTGTTAAAGGGTAACGGGAGGACACAAACTAGCGTCCTCCCGTCACCCTAAGCTCAGTATACCGCGAGCTACAACTCGCGGTATACTGAGACGCCGCAGCTGAAGCGGATCCCGACAATTATGTCTGGATCCGCCCAGCTGAGTGAGTGACAGCTGGCTCTGCCTATCTAGAGGCCGAGCCAGCTGTACCCGCTCCCTCCCCCGTCCGTACCCACCAGTCAGCGCTGGAGGATCGGAGCGGGGGGAATCCAGCCCCTCCCCCTGTCACGGCAGAGAGCCGTGACAGGATCGAGAAGTGAGTGAACGCCGGTATGTGTTCCCTCACCTCCCGATCTACCGAGCCGACCTGTGACAGTCTCATTGTCACAGGTCGGCTAGAACTATGAGGTAAGTGAAAAGCACTCATCTCATAGTTCTCCTTTTTTTTTTAAAAACTGTGCCTTGGGCGCAGAAATATCTATAACTCTGAATAGCGACGTGATGGGTTTGCTGCTGTTGCTCCAAACCTAAAGTATATCATAAGAAAATCCAATTTCAAAACAATTACAACTCTGCTAAGTGACTCTAGATCTCCAGGGACACTTGTCATTTTCCAGCGTGTGCACCATTTAATCTTCATTTAAACCTTGACTAAACCCTTACTGCTCTATCACAGCAAGCAGAATTTCCTACAGGAACATACTGAACCTGCTGTATTTCCTAAACAAGAACTTACCTATTCCACTAGATGTACAGTGTCAGGATAGCAACTTACCCAACTGTTCTTCATTCATCCAAACTACAGATCATACGAACCAACTCCTAGCACGGGAGGACATATTAGATTCAGTCATCAACACCGGCACTAACAAACTGGACTTTGTGTTCACCTGGCACCAATCGAGTATTCAAGAGGCAGAGGGTTCAGTATAAGGCCAAGGTAAGTATTCCTAAAGAAATACCTGAATAATTGGTCTGAGAGATAGATCAAACACCTTATCTTAAGGTTGCCCCATACTGACTTTGCCTTTCCTGGCCTTCAGTTTCAGCATGTGGCTGTATAATGGAGTAAATTGCATTTAAATTAACTTTTAAAGAGCTATGTTAAAGGAGAACTATGGGGTAAGTGTTTTTCCCCATAGTTCTCCTAAGGGTCACGGGAGGACATAAACTAACCTCCTACCCTGACCCAAAGCTCAGTATATATCGCGAGCTACAGCTCGCGATATACTGAGACCGCCGCAGCCAGGACGGATCCCGACCTGTCGAGATCCGCCCAGCTGCGTGAGTGACAGCTGGCTCTGCCTATCTAGAAGCAGAGCCAGCTGTACCCGCCCCCTCCCCCGTCCGTTTCACCAGTCAGAGCTGGAGGATTGGAGTGGGGAAGGGGGGGGGGGAATCCCTGCAGGGAGCCGTGAGTGACAGCCACAGCTCTTTGCAGGGAGATGATCGAGAAGTGAGCGAGCGACGGTATGCGTTCGCTCACTTCCCGATCTATTGAGCCGACCTGTGACAGTCTCATTGTCACACGTCGGCTTGAACTATGAGGTTGAGTGAAAATCACTCCTCTCATAGTTCTCCTTTAAACTTTTGAATCGGAAGTCCCACCGTGCAGGTTACCGGCAGAAATTGAGCATCATTTACCATGTTTGCATGTCAATAATGTTCTATGTTATTTGCCATGAGGAACGCGGCTGCTGCTTTGTTTTTGTCTATAAATAGCCGCAATAAAAGATTGGGCACAGAAAGGCCACAATTAAACTCCCGGGTGCCCTCTACGGTAAGCAAGAGACCGTTTCATATCTGCAAAACCAATTAGCTTCTGCATGTCATGTATCAAAGTGATATTAGTAGTATGATGTTGCTGAGATCCAGTGAGATAAAGGACAACAAGCTTAAACGGCACCTCTGGGAACCGGGAACAGATAAACAGAATGTTGAAGGACTTCCTAAAAGGAGACACCAATGTTAAATTCAAGTACAAAAGAGGTTCCCCATTAAGTTTTTAGGTTCTGGCCTCACCTTACATGTGTAGCGATCACCCCCGAAGGAGCCGCCAGGATAACCAGGGTCATCACTAGTCTGTCCAGGGGTTTTGGTCTTAAAGGAGAACTATGGGGTCAGTGTTTTTCCCCATAGTTCTCCTTAGGGTAACGGGAGGACACAAACTAGCATCCTCCCGTCACCCTAAGCTCAGTATACCGCGAGCTACAGCTCCCTATATACTGAGACGCCGCACCTGGAGCAGATCCCGACGTAGATGACGGGATCCGCCCAGCTGCGTGAGTGACAGCTGGCTCTGCCTCCCTAGAGGCAGAGCCAGCTGTACCCGCCCCCTCCCCCGTCCGTTCCGCCAGTCAGCGCTGGCAGATCGGAGCGGGGAGAGGGGAATCCAGCCCCTCCCCCTGTCACGGCAGAGAGCCCTGACAGGATCGAGAGGTGAGGGAACCCGGTATGTGTTTGCTCACCTCCCGATCTACTGAGCCGACCTGTGACAGTCTCATTGTCACAGGTCGGCTTAGAACTATGAGGTGAGTGAAAAGCACTCACCTCATAGTTCTCCTTTAAGCTGCCCCATTAGCATTAACCACCCTCTTTTAGTGCCCAAAAAGCTGATATCTATTCCAAAAGTATATTGCGGAAGAACTTTTATTAACATCTTCACATTGGGGAGAGAGGTTACAGGGATCCTAGACATCCCGAACAGCACAGACATCAGCTACAGACTCACCAGTCCACTATGTTCCGGGAACCTCCAGCAGCCAGGTTCCTGGTTCTCCTCCTTTAGCAACAGCACATGTTTCCTCCATACTTGAGGCCTAGTGAAACACTTCCTGCACTCCATCATCCCCAGGCCTC